GAATGATCAAAGCAATGTGCAACTGTCTACCTATTTATAAAGCAATGGTGTGAATATTATAATGAAATACCTTCAGCATAGGTTTCTAATAAGTTTGCCCTTCACTAAAGCTGAATTGTAAACGAGTTCCTATGTAATTGCATAATCTGAGACACATGAGCAGTACAGGAATTCATCAAAGTTATGCCATATATTTATGACTTCTTAATTATTTTCTTCTTTTTGTGCAGACAGTGAATTATTCTTTGCTTTTTGCAAAAAAAACCCTCTCCATGTCAAGGCATCCCTGTTAATCTCTAAATGTATTTTTTATTGTTCCGTAAAAGATTTATGAGCCAATACGTTTCTCGGATTCAAAATACCTATTTTTAAAGATGTAAAATCAATCAAAATTAATCTTCTTCCCTTTCCTGGCTGCAGTGACAGCATTCTCTGAAAACTCTCTAGAGCTGCTGTTCATCCAAATGAGCCACGTAGCCCCATGACAGAGCACTGTTAATTGTCAGAGAACAAGAAGTTTACAGCTCTCTGGTGGTTCATAGAGATCTGTAGCTAAAAAAGGTGCAACATGATGTTACTTAATTCTAAGTAGAATGGAAACAGAAAAGAACAGCTCGTCTTGGAGATACTTCAATACTTGGAGATACTGTTCAGAGCACTGGACCAGGCTGCCCAGAGAGGTTGTGGAGTCTCCTTCTCTGCAGACGTTCAAAACCCGCCTGGACGCCTTCCTGTGTAACCTCATCTGGGTGTTCCTGCTCTGGCAGGGGGATTGGACTGGATGAGCTTTTGAGGTCCCTTCCAATCCCTAACGTTCTGGGATTCTGTGATTCTGTGATACTTAAACATTTGCTATGTTTACAGATTTTTAGCTTATTGAACTCAGTGGATCTTGCAGTTAGTCATAGCTTAAAAACCTGTTGAAGAACAGCATTTCCTTCAAATTCTGTTTAAAGGCTGTTTTCTTCTAAAGAATTGAAAGGGGAACTAAATGATCATTGAAGATGTGGTCCTGAAATAGTTTCAAGAACTTACTTTACAGTTACAGTGAAGTTGCCAACACCAGAAGATACAGAAAATTCCCCTTCTGGATGCTTTGTACTTCACCTGGAGATTTATGTGCATAGAGAGTTGGCAAGATCAGTAGTTATGAATGCACTCCAAGGCTTCCTAAAGCCTTTAGGGCTTCCAACCCTCCTTCCCTCCCTAAAAAATAGTCTGCAAAAACAGCAACCACCTTGCAGCTGATTTTATTCCTTGTAAATAAATTAATCATTTCCATGGCAGCAAGATCTGCAGTGGGGCAGGGTTAGCTCAGTCAGGGTGGCCACTGAAGCACGTTATACTGGACCCAGCTAAATCTATATTAATAAAGGAAAGCTTCCTGCGTCTGACCTGAGAAGAAAGAGACTCTTGGAAGCTCTAGCGCAGGCCTTTTCCTTTCTGGGCTAGGGCAGAAGCTTTTGGCACACGAAATAGCTGCCAGGCCAGCTAGGCAGGACGAACAAGTAAGAGGAATGCTCCGAGGTATGCTGTTGTGTTGGGTGATGATGTGCTCCAGCAGATGAGAGATGGTGCTGGCAGGGAGAAGTTTTCTTTAGAGGCAAATACAGCCAAATAGAAAATGGAGCATGCTCCAGATCTGCTGGAGGCAGCGGCCTGGGGAAAAAGCGGTTGAAGAGGGTAAGTTTGTTTAGTAACAGCTGCTGTGGTGCCAGAACCTGCGTCGTGAAGGAGATTGCGTGCAGAGGAGAAATCAGATGTGAAGGATGTTACTGTCTTGGAAGTGAGGGGTTGTAAGGTTGAGGATGCTTTTCTAACTGTGTGTGTTTGACACTGGTTTAGTTTATTTTTCACTTGGAGCAGTGCAGGGTGAATCTTCAGTCCAAGGAAGTTCAGTTGCATTTAGTTAGAGAGAAAGGAGAATTTCTTGTTTCAGTGAATTAATCTGTTCACAAATATTACAGGACAATACAGAACCTTTCAAGTAGTGTGAGTGCAATAGTTCATTTCCTTTATTTCTGAAGTGTTGCTATAACTGAACATCAGTGTTATTTGCAGGTGGTTGGTGGTATTTTTCAGATTGATGAAGGGAGCTCATAGTGAACTGTAGTGTAAGAGTCTTATATTTATTGTCTGTTAAGCAAATAAAAGTCTAGCAAATATAATGTCTGTGGCTGTAGGATTATTGTCAGCAACTTGCAATCAATATTCTCAGATCAATGTAACTAAAATAATGCACTGAAATAAATAGTTTATTTTTCATTTAAGAAATTAACAGTAGTTCTTTTAAAACTATATGGTCAAGCTTTCTTTAAGAAATTGTTAGCTTTTTTGGCTTGCTTTGGGGAATGTAGATTGGAGAAATTCTTGTTCTTCTTTTAAAGGTATCTTCTGTGGGATTTCTTAGACTTCAGAACTTAGAAGCGCTGTCAGGGTTTTGGCCAGTTGCTAGTGCAGGAAATTGGCAGTTACAGTTCCAGCTCAAATCTTGTTTTGCTCCTCAAACTGTAGTAATAACATTTACCTATTTCTGGCGATACTTCAGAGATCAAAATATTACTCCTCGTTAGAATACAATTAATTAGAACTTTAAGGTTTTGCCCTTCTTGATACGGACTAGCTCAGCTGTCTCCAAAACTAGGGCAAGTCTTGCCTCCTCCTGCAAAAGAGCAGGGCTCTCACACCCTTGTGTTCTGGCTGCAGCGAGGAATAGAGAATATATAATATATATAATCTCTATTTTATGTATATGTGTGTGTTTATATACATACATACATATATATATATATATATAATAGCCTGTGAGGAGAGGGTTTGTTGGCAGTTTGAAGCACTGACTTCATACTCTAATCAGCAGCAGAAGGGCCCTCACATCTCTCACAGCCCTTGAAGGTGTCTTGTTGCTTGACTTGTGTTTCTGCAGAAAAGCTCCCCCAGCCTTTTGCCTCTTTTCTTTTTGCTGCCCTTCTCAAAGAGCGGGCAGGTTCACTGTGGTGTGGGCAGCACGCCTTGCCTTTCTTCAGATTCTCCTAAACTGGTGTGTGCTGGGAAGTTTTAGCTGAATCCTACTAATGAGAGATTGTGGGAGAGAAGGGGACTTTCAGAAACAGTGGTGAGTGTTGAACAAGTCCAATTTTGGGAGCCCTGCAGCTGAGAGATCTCTGCTTTTCCTGTTGAAAGGGTAAAGCCTCAGAAAACCGAGTGCTGTGAGCTGTCTCCACAGACCGTGCCCTATCAAATTTTTGATCTCTTTTGAAAATACCATCTCTTGGCTCTTTAAATTCATTTGCCTTGCTGGGAGGGGAACAAGGAGTGTGTGAGGTTAACGTGCCTGGAATAGTTTTGTCAACTCAAAGGGAATTTCACAGGAGATTCACACCCTCTGAGCAGTTCAGCTCAGTGTGCTCACTAAAACACTCCGACTTTCTGCAGGATGGGTTTCCCAGTGTGGTGGGTTGGAATCTCATGGCGCAGGCTGCTTTTTGAGGTTGCTGGTATCAAGTTTTGATTGAGGTATTCCAGCGTGTGGCTGGAACTGAAGGCAGGGACGTGGAGACTGGGGGAAAAGGCTGTTTCTTTGTGACAGTGCCAGTTCAATTACTTGTGTTGTATGAGGTTGGATTTTTTATAACCTTGGTTAATGATGGAGCATTACTTTGTCTTTTTTTTTGCTATGCTGTACTTAATAAATGCAGAGAGATGTCTCTGTGGTATTATACTGGTATCTCTGAAATCTAGGCTCTGTTCCAGGCTTCCAAAATTATTTTGGGCAAATCCATTCTGTGTCTCATTCTGTAAAATGAGAATGATGAATGTTTCTAACTCTTGGGGGATCTTAAGGATTTCTATGTAGAATGTGGCACATTTAGGTTTTACAAGTTTGAAGAGCCTGAAAAAACCTCACAACAAAGTAAAACTAACAGAATATAGGAAGGTAAATCATATTCACTGCCCCTCTCTCACTATTTGGTAGTAGCTCTTATCAATTGCTACTTCATTTCATTGAATTCAAGCCCCAACCTTAAGCTCCTGTTAACAGGTAGATAGCAGTGGAAGAAAATAACAGCACCATGGCATGACTCACAAAAAGTAATATTAAGGGATTCTCCAGGTTGTGTGTTGTTCTCTCAGAGCAGACTTTAATGTGTGGCTGTTCTTATAGCGTGAACTTTTCTTTGATGAGCCTGGAGTCTGGACCGCATTTAAAATAGTGGAAGATGGCAACCTCTGACCTTTGGGTGGTTAAATCGGGGCGGTACGTGCCTGGTGAGGTGTGGGTTGCACTCAGTCTTGCTCTCAGAAGAAAGCAAGGCAGTAAATGATGCTCTCTGATCCTTGCTGTAGTGTAGCTGGCATCTTCTCTGTGCTCCTGGGATACAGCACACGCTGGGATCGAGCAGCAGTTCAGCAGCAAGCAGAGCGATACGTTGTAAGCCGGCTGATGGTGTGTCTATGATTTACTTTCTCCTGCATTTGTAGGAATCAACCTTTTTTTTGGCAAGGTGCAGAGAAGTGCAAATGGCTCAGCTTTACGGAGTTGACATTTGCTCTCAATTTCCCTCAGGTTGAGCAGCTCCACTGAGCAAAGCACTTCATCCCGGCTCATACGGAAGCACAAACGCAGGAGGAGGAAACAAAGGATGCGGCAGATTGACAGGGTAAGGCTGGCACCACACTTTTCCAAGGAGGCGAACTGTGATTTTTTGGGTGTAGCATGTGAAATAGGAAGGGATCCAGAACAGATCTGCACCCTGTTGAATTCATTGGAAAGGCTCCCTTTGGCTCCGGTCTATCTTGGACTGAATCCTAACATTTGAAGTTCTGCAGCACTGGAGTCAGGACTCTCTTTCTCCTCTCCCTTCTCCTTTTACTGTAAAGTGATTGCATTTCTTGTTGTCTCTTTCAAAATTGGCCTCTGCAGGAGAACCTCCATTGTGCTACTGGCTGGTGTGGGCAAGGGGTGTCCGTGGTGTTAGACATCTGATGTATAAATTGCTGAGATTGCATTCTGCTGAACGGAGAAATCCACATTTATAGGAAATTGCAAATCATTTCCCATGCCCTTTTCTGTGCTGGTCCTACGGCAGCAGAATGAGGGTGGTCCGAAGGACAGACTTCTTGAAGTAACTGTTTCATTCTCCTATAAGTATCAGTCTTCACAGATTGAAGGATGAACATGCATACATTTTATCACAAGAACTGGAGTAATGTTTTAGAAGATACTTGATAAGCACATTTGTGTTTCATTTTGGAGGAGGGGGAGTGCCTGTCTTCTTGCTTCCTGATGAATTGTGTGTTGTTCACTCCTCTCTTCAGGGAGGAGCCGTGGATGTAATAACTCACACTACAGCGGGCACTTCAGTATTGAAATGTCTGCCTGTCAGTCACGGAGTCAGGAAGCAGAAATGGTTCATTGTGAAGTTCAGTTGAGAAACCTCAATGTAGGAACTTGCTCTGTGTGTTTTGTACACTTCAGGGAAGTGCAGGACACATTCAGATTTTGGTTTCAGTACAGATTCTAAATGAAGAATAAGTTTGAGGAGGCCACAATAGTTTCTGGATGCCTTCCGAACAGAAACCTATTAATCAGTTCCCGATGAATTAATCCTTAGTAATTATTTTTATTGTCTTATTCTGAGCCATTTAAAATCTTGGGAATTTTCTGTTGTATTTTGCAGTCGTCTTCGTTCAGCAGCATCACTGATTCTACCATGTCCCTAAATATCATCACTGTCACACTCAACATGGGTAAGAGGATGTGCAATGATTTGTATGATGAATTTCAAGTGATACAGGTGTATTTTGTCATGGTGCAGTAGCCTCTGCAGCCAGTAGAAAGTTCCTTGATTTGGAAAGTTGCAAATTGAGGTAGAGGGGATGGCAGCTGAGAGCTGCTACTCTGTTTACCGTGCTTTGATTTCAGTACTGGGCAGTTTTGAGCCATTTGCACAAGCAGATCCATATTCTTCCTGAGAAGCCCAGGGCAGGAGCTGGGACTCCAGGATGTGGAGTTCTGCTTTTGTTTCTAGGAATAGTGAGGGCTCAGACTTTGTTAGGAGCAAGAATAGAAGGGCGCTAGAGGTTTGCATTTCTGCTGCTCATGAGTTTCATTGTTTAGCCAGATAGAAATGTGCAGGACGCCAATTCAGCACCTTTCACTAGCAGCAAATTCTGCTGTGTGGAAAAAACATCGCCCGGTGCTGATCGAGTGCTTAATTTCTAGGTGTAGACGTGTCTTTTCAGTGTCGTTTCTCTTGCTTATTTTTTGAATGTAACTTTTCAGTGTCTTGTATGAAAAAACAATGTCTTTAGCAGCATTTCCCTGCTGCCTATCCCTGAACGTGCCAGGCAGACATACACCAATAGCGTAACCTGAGATATTTGTAAGTCAAACGTGGCCCAGCTGATGTGTTGAAAGAACTGATTTTTCAGGACTGAAGTAGCCTGGTGTTAGCTCTTCACTGTCATTCCAATCACCTTGTTTGCTTTTTTCCCTCCCCACCCTCCACTTTCTATCTGTATAGAAAAGTATAACTTCCTGGGAATCAGCATTGTAGGACAGAGCAATGACCGGGGTGATGGTGGCATTTACATTGGCTCTATTATGAAAGGAGGGGCTGTGGCAGCAGATGGCCGAATTGAACCAGGAGACATGCTTCTGCAGGTTGGTCCGTGTCCAAAAATACGTGCTGCTGGCTTGTACATTGGTGGCTCAGCTCAATTCATCCCATCAGATCCATGGACTTAGTAATCAGTTAATAGAATTCATTCATGTTCAGAGAAATGGGTCACAGAGACTGTTACCACTTAAATATATGAATCTTTGTGAATCTGCTGGAGAGTCGATGTGCTCTGAGAAACACTGTTTCTGCAGCTGCTCAAAGGAATGGAAACGGTTACAAGGCAAATAAATTTGGATGCAAACAATAAAAATCTCTTTAATTTTCCTGTGGCAAAGCCTGACCTCTGCTTTTTGCGACGTTTCAGGTGAACGACGTCAATTTTGAGAACATGAGCAATGATGATGCAGTACGGGTTTTACGGGAAATAGTCTCCAAACCAGGGTGAGCATATTACAAAATGTCTTTCTACTTATAACTACGTATGCAGTTACTGGTGTTTGGCAAACCTCAGAGAAATCAACATTTTGATCTCAATAAAGATCCAGTGTGGTTGCTGAGCTCAACTCTGTACTTCTCAGTGTAAATGGTGTAAGGTGAGACTGGTTCCAACATATCAGCCAAAACCAACACAAAGTAGGAGTTGCCTGGTTTCAGTGCACTGTTTGTTTACAGTATGAGCATTTTAATATCCCAAGAGCTGATTGATTGACAGATTTCACCAACAGTGCTCATGATCTATGGAAAGCCAGAAACATCCTGATACTGGTACATATTGAAAATACTTTGACAAGCATCTCAAAAGCATTTTCAGAATGTACTTGACCACTTGGATAGGAATAAGTTTGTTTCAGAGAGTTTTTTGTAGGAAAAGTTAAGAATCTTACTTGTTTTCTTTCTTCCTAGACCTATCAGCCTAACAGTAGCCAAATGCTGGGACCCTACTCCCAGGAGTTATTTCACCATCCCCAGGGGTGAGTACGTATTTCTGCTCTTTGCTGGTAACCTGTGGAGCCCTCAAGTTACAGAATATTTTCAGCTGTTTTGGCATCTGACACATTTCTGTTCCCTACAAGTTCAGTACTTCTGTTTGTATTGTCTGTTTGCTTTTTGTTTTGGGAGGCAGAGGCTTAAGATACTCTCTCTTAGAGTGCAGTGCTCACTGAATTCCTGAGAGTTTTTCTCTTGATTCGCATGGCTTTGGATCAAGCTCTTAACCTTTTGGAGGATATATCCTCATGATCTTAACCTTTCAATTGACAGAAAGTTTGGAGGATGACTATAAGTAAGTGTTAAAAGACCTCATTTTGTCACCTGTACACTCCTTAAGAATTTAAACTGAGTATTTTTAAAATTTGAGGCAGACAACATTGTTTAATGTTTCACTCTTAAAAATGATTGAGTTTTAAAACGTCTGGCTTAATAAACCTTTCAATAGTGAGAAAAGATCCATCCTCATGTGACAAACACAGCTGCCTCCTACTGGTGAGTGCTCTGCTTATGATATTGAAACCAGTCTTTTAAAATCACTGCAATAGACTTGTGCACACTGCAGGACCTCACTCAGCAAAGCCCTTAGGAAAACCAGCATAATCAAAAGAGAAGTCCCACAAGTCACATATTTCAGATTTGCTCCAGGGAAAGCTTGCATTTCAACTTGTCCTTTGTTCAGTGAAGATGCATCCAAGGTAAACAGTGGTGCATGTGTTGTAGGCTAAACAGGTTGCAATAATGTGTGGAATATTTTGAGGAAATACCTAACATAGGCAGAGCTCTTTTACATAATTTATGGTTTTATGAATCATCTTTCAAGGGAGTGAAATAACAGCTACTATAGTTCAGAAGAAAAGAAGTAATCCAGATTTTCCAGGAGAAGATTGAGCTTTGTTCTCAGCTTTCAAAATTACTTGCTGTGTATCTCTTCTTAACCTCGGAGTGTAATTTTCATTTCAATTGCTGGAGGAAACCAGCAACTGCTGGCAAGGTGCTTTTTGTTCCCTCGTGCTGGGGCTCTCTCAGTTGTGCGATCCAAATGGCAAGGACTTATGCACCCCCAAGAATTCCTTCTTACTCAAGACCCTGGTGTTTACTGCAGATCTGATCCCATTTGTCTTTTTCTCTCTCTCTGACTGTTTTGCAGCTGAACCAGTGAGGCCAATTGACCCTGCAGCGTGGATCTCTCATACCACAGCCATGACGGGAGCGTACCCCCGTTACGGTATGAGCCCCTCCATGAGCATCACCACATCTACCAGCTCCTCACTAACAAGCTCAATTCCCGATTCGGAAAGTAAGTCACACTGCGGCCAGCACAGGGCAGGCGTCTTCTGCTCGGGGCCAGCAGTGCAGAGCTGTGCGCAAAACCGACCCCAGCCACAAGCACGATGAAAACGTCAACCGCCACAGAACTCTTGAATGCTTTCTTAAATCTGTCATTCTTATGGGGAGCATAAATCCTTTGTCCAGAGGTCAGAAGTTAACGCAGTGGTGTTTTGTCAGGGTTCACATTCAGGCCTCTGGTTCCTTTTCAAGTTACAAGGCAGGCCTCCAACATGATCCCCTCAGATGAATGTGAGAGTTTCCTCCTCGCATCCGATTGTTTTTTAATACATTTAAATAATTTACTTCAGATAGGTGTCACTGGATAATAGTGTTAGTGTATCATTTAGGAAATCTTCCGTTGATAGTCATGTAGCCTTTTTTTTCATTTGTACTTTTAGAATTTCTTGAACAAGGAAAAAACAAATGTAATGTCCCAGATGAAATGATAGCTACTGTTCAGCCTTCCTTCCTGGTTTGTCTGTCTGTGGCAGTCTCTACACTGGTCATATCCATGTAACCAAGTTGTTATGATTCCTTATCTTGGAATTTTTTGGTTAAGGAAGATACAGTCTTGCTTTCATTTACTTTTCCTTTAGTTTCTGATGGAAGTGTGGGATAAAAGCTAGCATTTGGTTTGAAATACCTGGTAGTGAGGCAAGATGAATAAACAAGGAGCATGTGCCTCTGAGAACACTGTCTGCTGAAGTCCTAGTTCAGGAGAGTGTTCGTATTTAAAACTGCACTTCTGATTACTTGACATGAAAGTTTAGAGGCACTTTACGTCTCATTAGGATGTGTTTGTGTCCTGTAATATTAATATGGAAGAATTGAGAGATCACAGAATCACAGAATCGCTCGGTTGGAAAAGACCTCCGAGATCATCACGTCCAACCGCTCCTGTCTACCCCCTAAACCATATCCTTAAGTACCTCGTCTAGATGCAACCTTTCTAGTAGATTTGTTCATCTGTAGCAAGGAGATTTATTGGATTTGTTTATATGCACATAGGAATCTTGAAGTGGCTTTAAAGTTCTGAGGAGATTATCTGATTTGTGGAACGATGCTACCTCAGTGTGCATCCAGGGAAAGCCAGATAAATGCTTACATGTTTAACAAGGGATGCCTGAGTGTCTGTCAGATCTGGAGTCTAAATTTAAGACTGAGTAACTTTTTCGTGTTGTAAGATTTATCCACAAAGAAAGGGAGGGTATCATTTAGAAAAAACAACACAAAACAATATGAACGAGAAAAACACCACTTTGAGGATTTTAATCAGGGTTGGTGTTGGTGATCAGTGACAGAATCTTCCCTGGACAAATACGTGGCTGAAGAGTGAAAGTTGCGTTTGCAGGGACCAGTTAAGTCCTATTGGACTACACAAGTGTCTGCCTCTTTTCTTCTACCCTCTCTCAGATTTTATAAGTGCATAGTTCCTGGAATTACAGCCCCTCTTGAATTTTTGTAGGTGTAGTAGCTCAGTGCCTCTTTGGATATTAGGCAGCACCATGGAAGGGGAAATACATCTGCAGTAGAAAGCAAGTGAACCACTTACCTGATGACTGCTTTATCTTGAGGTGTGTTTTCAGCCTTACAGGTACTAAGGGTTGCTGGAATCAAATGTATCTGCTGATTGCTGTCGAACAACAAGAGTCTGTTACTCTACTTACATTCCTCTTGAACTACTCATGTATCACGTGCCTTGATATCTAGTGATGTGAGTGGGAAGTGTGGGACACAGACACCTTCTCAATCATACTTTTAAAATAAAGGTTATTTGGGAGCAGAACCACATTTCTGGAGACAGCTTCTCATTTCCATGCCAGTGACTTTCAACGTTTCCTTTCCTGAATGCAAGAAAATGAGGAGTACCCTGACATTTATTGGGACCTTCTGCTTAACACTCCGTCCTTCAGTTCAGTCCTGTTACCCTCCCCGGACATGGCAGGCAGCACCACAGGACCCTAAGCACAAAGAGCACCTGTCCTGTGAACCTCTTTGGCAGGAAAGACAAATCTGGGAGGGAACAGAGGAGGAGAATGTGCATTGACATCTGAAAGAACAAAGAGCTTCATGCAAAATGGGGCTTTCTAACTCTTCCATTTCCAGTGCAAGATTCTCTGTTTCAGTTCCTCTGGGGCTAGAGGCACAGGTATTTGAAACAAATAACAATATCTGCAGTATCTGGATGTGAAAGAGGAAGCAGGGAATTAATGGAGGCATCTTAGACAAGTCTGTTTCGTGGTTCCTTGTTGTAAGTACTGTGAATGTCTACTGTTTTGCTCTGTAGCAAGGCCAGGATAATGTAAACAGACTAAATAACTGTTTTCCTTCTGCCTAGCAGTCCTTGGTTCTCTAGCCTCTGGATCAAAAGTGACATCTGATATCTGAACCATTTGCACCACCACTGTCACACTGGTGCTTAAGATTAAAGTAGCTGAGTTTTTGGGGCCACATAAATCACCACCACACAGTAGGAATTACTCTGTGTTAGCTCTTTATTTTCTCAGGTGTGTTTCTTCCAAAACAGGACTATTCAAGCCAAGGCAGACTGAGGTTTTTCATAGTAATTATTGCTTTAAAAAGCATCTTGTTCTCTAGCAGTGTTCTGGCTGATGCAGGAGAAGGTTCTCACCCAGTGGTTTGTGAGTGTTGGACTCGTTGCAAACTCTGCTCCTTGTTTGCTCCGTTAAAGGTAGATTTTTCCAGCCCCTGTTCTGCCACTACAGGACCCCTTTCTGCTGTCCCATCCCATGAGATTAACTTGAGGTGTTTCACTTGTTTCAAAATGCAGTCTGAAGATGTTGTTGGAAAGTTCTGGTTTTCTCTTGCATGGCCTGCAGAGGATTTTGAATTGAGACTTCAGACTATTTCTGCCTAATAGTGTTCAGCCTGAGGTACTGTGTAATTTCCTGGGGCTTTTTGTTTGGGCAAATGTGCACTTCCTTACTCGGGTAAGGATGCAAGCCAGTGTTGGTATTACTTTGTTTTCTGGAAGATAAACCTCTCTTATTACCAGGATCTGCTAATGGGAAAAAAATACCACTCAAAACCGATGACCAAAGCCCTGAGAGAGAGAGCTTTGCTCCCCAGAAAGAAAAAGGAGAGTCCCTGTCTGTGCTGCTCCTCAGATTTGCACGTCCCTGTACAGGTGCTCAGGTAGTCAGGCCCACAGTTGACTGAGTTCAGACCAAAACGGGTGCATTTTAGATGCATCTTAGAATTCTTCATGTTGGTACAGCAGCTAGCAGACATAGAAAATACTGGATCATTTGGCTGGTGGTGGTCTTTATATGCAGATCACAGGTCTCCAAGAAAATGCAAGTTATTGCTCCCCAGGTACTTTACTTGAATATTGGTTTGGTTTTGGTTTTTTTCTCCCCCAAACACACGTGTTGCTTTTTGCCACTAACCAAACTAACTTAAAGCAAAAGCAAAATTATAGTGTTTATTCAATCTTTGTAAGTATTGAAACTGCATGCATAGGTGGTTTGGGATATTTTCATGCGTATTGCCAGTGCATGGATTGAAAGAAGCATATTCAGTTTTCATTGTTTCATGCTTGTTGTACCTTTTATCAGAACTTTGTGTTGCTGGAAAAGGGCAAAATTGGTTCCCTTGTGCTTTTGAAAGGTGGGTGATGTGGGGAGCTGGGAGGAGGGAGGGGAGGAGGGTCTGAACTACAAACAGAGCACAGACGTGCTCAATGTGAATTTTCTAGGACTGAGAAGGTGGGAGCGGGAAAGAGGACTGGGTGCTATAGACTGGGGAGACTTTTGGACCCAGATTCACCCCACTTTGCCTCTGTATGAGGTGGGGAAGGAGTTTCTAAAGAGACCAGACTGCGCAGTAGGCACCTCAGTTGAGCAGGGTGCATCTTGGCTCTGTTCTGGTTTTATTATAAAAATTGATCAGGGAAGTATGAAGCCTGTGGTGAACCAGCTCTGCCCGTCAGAGTGTGAAATACGAGTGGAGCAGTGACAGCTGCTGAGGAACCTGAAGAACTGGTAAAAATACTGGAATTTGTGCCACTGATGAGGGTGCATTTGGGAACCTTTGTATCTTTTTTATGCATCTGTTGGTAAAGCTGTGTTTGAAACGTTTCATCCGGTTTGGGAGCTGAGAAGTTCTTTTCAGACTCAGTTCATTTCAAAGCAGCATGTAACCTTCCTTCCTTGTAGAGTTAGAAGAATCTCCCTTAACTGTGAAGAGTGACATGGCTACTATTGTCAAGGTTATGCAGCTACCAGACTCAGGCCTTGAAATCCGGGACAGGATGTGGTTAAAAATCACCATCTCCAATGCAGTGATAGGTAAGCAGATCAAAGGAACGCTGGAGGTTGGGATGGAAAAAGTGGCTTTTTGGAAATAGGCTGAAGAAACATGACTTTTTTTTTTCCCCCGTGACCTCTTACATTCCCTTGACGTGGTATTTGTGAACAGCTCTAAGGAGTTGAACAATATAACTGTAAAATTTCGCTGCGTAAAAGATTGCTGTGTATTCACATTTACGTTCAGTACTTGGCACAGTAGAACTGATGGGCTATGTGAAGGTTAAAATAAAATAATAATATTTGTCTTGGATGATCCTGTGTCTCCTCTTCCTATTCTCATTATAGGAGCAGATGTGGTTGACTGGCTTTATACACACGTGGAAGGCTTCAAAGACCGACGGGAGGCTAGGAAATACGCCAGCAGCATGTTAAAACACGGCTACCTCAGGCACACTGTGAACAAAATCACCTTCTCAGAACAGTGCTATTACGTCTTTGGAGACCTCTGTGGCAGTAAGTTCCCATTCTGTGGAAGGCAAAGCTCTGTGTGTGTGTTATTTGCTCACAGGATGCACAGAGCAGTCTCCTGTGGGATTTCACGTGTGGTTCAGAACAGGGCGTTATTCTGAAGCTGCATGACAAGTGGTTGACAATTCCTGTTAGACCAAGCAACCCAGACCACTTGGAAGAGAAGGAAGAACTCATCAAATTAGGGCATTGCACTGAGGCTTGGGAAAGCAGGCTTTAATTCTGGTGATGCCACAGACACACTCAGTTTCTAATCTGTAAAATGGGGATGATTCCTCCTTAACTTACGGAAATGCTGCAAAGGTACCTCAGAGCTCAGTGGTAAATAGTGATGTCTGCCCTACCGTGTGTGATACTTTGAGTGAGCTCTGGAGGTGGAGTCCCTGTGTCAGCCATCAGTAACGTACAGGAGGCAGCTGCGGGGTATGGACACAGTTTTCACCTTTTCTCTCTTTTCCAGATATGGCTGCACTGAACCTTAACAATGGTTCCAGCGGAGCCTCGGATCAGGACACCCTCGCTCCACTTCCACATCCTGCTGCTCCCTGGCCCTTAGGCCAAGGATACCCGTATCAGTATCCTCTGCCCCCTCCATGTTTCCCACCAGCATACCAAGACCCAGGCTTTAGCTATGGTAGCGGCAGCGCAGGGAGCCAGCAAAGTGAAGGTAAGATGATTCATCTGGTATTTATGTCCACAGCTGTCATTATCCCTAACCATTTGCTTGAGTTCCTTCGTACTGTCTGTGCTCCTGTCTTGTGGTTCTGTATGCTACCTGCATGGATTTGGGGCGACCGCGCTTAATCAAAACCCTTTGTGGATATGATGGAGTGGGTGAGCCTTTCAGCTCTGTATTGAGACTGCCAGTGCTGTTTGAACCCAGTCAGTAGAGCAGAACAGAAACGTGCTGTAGTTATGCTGTAGTCTGTACTGTCTGCAAAATGCCAGTGGGGAACTGGAACCAGTCACGTCCATGGTGGCATGGGCATCTGTACTTCTCTTACCCAGCACCACCACACGGTAAACTGCTGCTCAGATAATGCTGAGCAGGCCAACATTAATGACTCAATTGTCCACCGTGTTAAAACAGATAAACTGTAGCCTCCTTTTTTAGAAATCAGAGGCATTGCCAGCAGTGGGGCTGCAGTTGCTTGATATTGCTAGAAGTGAGGCCGTTTGGTTGCTGATGGAGCAGGGATTAGAACCAAGGCACTCTTGGCTTCCACTGCAATGCTCAGTACAAAAGGAAAACCACCTCAAGCGTGAGGTGGCCAGCCAGATGGTTTACAGGGCTGAAACACTGCTCACAGGGAGGAGAGTCTCTGGTAACATATGACAGGGGAAAAAAAGATAATACTGCATGGATTAAAAACCTGACCTCCTCCTTTCCTGCCCTGGGATAATTTTATGCTTCATCTTTAAACTTTAGTAAATCAAAATTACATCTATTTTGGCTGTACAGATTTTTATTTTTTGTAATCACTTCCAGAGTGAGTTTTGCTTTTGGAAATGCTGCCAGCAAAGGGAGAGTGAGGATTCTCTGTGTTTTTGTGGTGAAGATCCAGTTACTTGGATGTAATTTTTTCCTGTTTACCACAGCCAGTTAGATTTTGCAAAATTGCATAGAAGAATTTCATAACGGGAACTTGCACCCAAGATTTGAGCACTAGTGCTTCTCACCTTATCTCAAAATAAGAAGTGTCTGTGAGGAAGCTCAGGGCGGTATCCAGAGGTTTTAGGAACTGCAAGTTGATAGTGCTGGGAAGAATGTGATGATTTTTTTTGGCAGCTGGTTCTGTGGGCAGTGGAATAGCAGACCTCTGCTGCTGGAATAGGAAAGGTATTTTATCCATGCAACCTGTGTTACTGGCTAAAGAGAGCCTTATGAAAGGCCCCAAGGTGTTCAATTTTGAAGGGTTTCAACGCTTTCCTTGTTCTTCTTTTGGAAACTACACTTCTGTGTTGTTTCTTCTTTTGTAACTGTTATTCCCTTGTTTTGTTCTGAGCAAGCATTAGACTGAAGGATTCATAGAGGAATGGCTGACTCTAGGGGATTGGTAAGCTTCAAATGCCTCCATAATTATAATGAATTCACAGCATGATCATTCAGACTCTTGTGACCCAAATGTTTAGTTGTATTTTTCCTTTTTCTTTAATATATTTTTTTTTCTTTTTAATTGTCTTGGACGCTCAACCTGTCTCAGTACCCAGTAGTCCAATAGTGTGGCATTGGCATTTTCAACCCTGCGTGACTGTGCTGCAGCAGCTACAGAGGGAACGGCATCAGATACCTCAGATGGGAAAAGCCTATCACCAGTCTCTTCATAAAATAGCTAAATAAATAATCACAGCTCCTCATTTAGTAGTTGGATGTCATCCATGTGGATTAGATTTGTCTTCCAGTGCCCTTACACTGCTCATTTACTGAAAAGCACTTGAGCAGTGTGCAGATGTCTGGGGCAGGTATTGGGAGCACAGGGACACAAGGTTGCATTGGCCACTCAACACAGAGTGTTACAATTGGGTTTCTTCTGGGTGCAATGTTACAGTGTAACTGAATTCATCTGGTGAACAAGAAGACTGCTTCAGAGCCCTGTGAATGTCACAGGTTTTTGAGATGAATGCAGTGTATTTGCTGATAATTACAGACAAAAGTCTAAGATTTGGGTCAAGACACAGACTGAGACTGCCTTGTGGCAAGCAACAGATGGGGAGGAAGATCTAGTAAAGCTTTCTGTGATGTTGCAGTCCTGTTCAAGGCTCTGTTCCAGTTTAGGTTGCTGCTTATTTCATCCGAGCTTGTGGTACCCAAGTCCTAGGTTATTTTAAAGGCTTGTGCAGGTTTGCTGTAGGGACAGGCACTGGCATGAGGACCAGCTCCTCTGCAAAACATCATCTCTGTCACCCTAGTGCTTAGATCAGAGTCACATCCCTGTTCTGGGAGATGCTTGCTGTACAGATTCTTTAAATCTATTTTATGACACTTAGGTTTAAAGTTGGCCTTAGGTGGAAGCAAACACTGCTGTGGTTGTGTCAAGTTAGCAGCATTTCAAGCCTCAGCTTTAGGCTGGGCTTTGTGTCTCCAAGACAGGGCAGTCCCCAGCTGCCAAGGAGGTGGCACTCTTGTTAGATTGCATTTAAACTCAAGGCTTGGAAGAACTTTCTGATTGTTCGTTCTGTGGCAGGATTTAAAGGCATGTCAGGAGACAGTGAACCTCAGCATGACCAGAGGAGAACGGCTGTGCTGCTGTTATTCATAGGCAGACTGGTAGATGGTTTCTCTATTTTCTTTCTGCCATGTAATCAGCTTGAAGGGCAGCTGCAGAAAGCCAGGTTCCTCTGAGATAAGAAGTCTGCATTTAACCACTTGACCTCTTGGAGTCTTGGCAGATCAGCTGGAGCTGCTACTCCAGGTATACTGAAGTCTGGAGTAGCAGCGTGATGGATTGCCAGGAATAATGACTTTGGGTAAGGTTTGCAGGATTTGGATGGGTGGCAACAGAATGCACCATAAGATAAAGGCTGAGGGATATTAGCTGTGGAAGGGCTCCAATAAAATAGTGCTTTTCTTCCACTGTGAACAATGTGCCACACCAGAGAGCTTACAAAGATGTTTCTTGGAGAGAATATCTGTGTTTTTCTTTGGAGCAAAGGCCGCGACAGTCAACCTGCTAACAAGTAGTTTCTCCTCTCTTATTTGTTTTTACAAGATTGCTATGAAACATTTGAAATGACAGCTCAGGGAGCACCTTACCTCTTCAAAAAGCTCACCTTAGTGAATCTTTGTAGTATTTGGTGGAGGCAGCTGAACCCACGTTGATATCTCCATTTACAGATGGAAGAAAACCAAGACATGATGCAGGACAGAGTTAAGGGAAGGCAAATGAGTTTCTTTTTGAAAAGCTTTTGCCAATAGAAGACATCAAAGACAGAGACAGTTACAATCAGACTGAACATCATTTGCTTGAGACAAAACCCAAATACCTGCTGCTTCCTTCTGGTTCTGCTCCTCCCCTCTCCATCAGTGGGGTGGCAGCAGAGCAGATGGTTTTCAGGCAGTAGTTCTAGGCCAGCTGCTGCTTTCACTGTGCAAGCTCTAAGGTGTCTACGTGTACCTGTGCATGGCACAACCTTGTCAGCTTTGTTCTATCAGTTCCCATTGCTAAATCCCATAAGCCACCAACAGCACGTTCAGGCCTGGTTTTGTCATCGTTGTTGCCATTACAGTGGCCATACGTGGATCTGGGGGTTTGGGCAGGAGCTGATGGTGGGAGACAGCAATGAACCTGAGCTAATTCTGCTTTTCTCTGTCTCCTTTTCGCTCGTGGACTTTAGGAAGCAAAAGCAGCGGCTCGAACCGAAGCAACAGCGAGAACAGCAGGAGAGCTCTTGGCAGAGAGAAGGACCGCAAATCGGCTGGCAGCGGCAGCGAGTCCGACCACACCGCCCGCAGCGGGGG